GGTGGTCTATAAACTGTAGCTACCGGAACGTAATATTATCCGGTACAGATGTAGGTGCATCTTCTGGTAATCGTGCTTGGCTAACGGCTGGATAGCGCGTAGTAGCTGACCCTCCATCAATTTGATGCTCCCGCATATACTCGGCAACTCGAGGAAGTTGCTCCTAAATACGGGCTTCTGTAGCTCGCATGAGGTTTGTCAGGCGCTGCACGCGGGGTCGGGTAACGTATACAAAAAGCTGCAGCACGAAGGCAGCGTGTCCATGCTGGCGTAGACGGGCTTTGTGCCAACTGACTTCCAACTGGCCTTTGAATTCACCTTCATTATCCGAGAGCGGCACGTACTTCTTTTGTGGTGCATTGTTTGTCGGCTTCACATATACAGTCGCAGGCTCACTCAATGTCAACCAGGTCGGGAGAGCAAGGAGGCAGAAAAATTGAAGTGCACCAGATGCATGAATGAGATCTTGGAACTCTTGATACATGTGGATCGTCGCGTTGCCTAGTACGAGAATTGAGCGGGGCAAGGGCCATGGGTTAAGAATGAGGGCTATTTTGTTCTTAAAAACTCGGTGGAAGTCCACCGGGTGAAGGTTTTGTTGGTCATCCCCGACGCGAAAAATCCAGTGACGTCCATGGCGGCCAAAACGAAGGCGCCCGTTCCTCGAGAAAATGGAATGCTGACATTTTTGGGGTGTTGCAAGCTGACTACCCGCGGCGACGTAGCAGAGACCTATGCATATTAGCATGATTAAAAAAATACACAACTAAAAACAAATAGCTAATTTACTTTCCGTCTTTTTACGTTTCATCGACGAAGACAAGTTGGTCCGGTCCGCTGTAAAATGGACTCAGCCTCGATAAAATTACCGTCTCTCGCGAGGGATGCTTTCGCGAGCTCACTTGCTAATAGTTTACGAGTTAACCCAAGGTCAAAGTGCAGGGCGCGACAAATTGTAACATCCGACAGGCATAAACCACTAGAAATTTGAGCTAAAATCGCCTCGCGAAGCTCTTCAAAATAAAAACATGCATGATTCTTCACGTGTTTCGATACAAACAAACGTGTAGGATAATGCGTCCTAAGACACGTCCTAAAGTGTCCTATTTGTCCTAAATTTTACAGGGAGATTTTGGAGATGTGTCCTAAAAAGCGACTAATCCTTCGCTACAGAATATTATAATTTGTGTCCTCCATATTGTCCTAAAACTCAAATATTAACTTTCTTCTGGACCTTCTACTTAAAATTACATAAGCGTTACTTAATACACACATTAGCGTTACTTACTGTCCTAAGGCACACTACCAACCATTTATCAATCTCCACCACGGCAGCTAAGCACCATGGACCATCGCGGCTACTCCTTCTGCATCAAGCGCTCGTGTCCTGAAACAAGCACGGTTTACTACGTCTGCAAGCGGTTCCGCAAAGGATGCAAGGCTAAGATAACTGTCCGATCAGGTGCAGTTGTAGTAGACGGGGTTCTACATACGTGCGACGAGGCGGTGCCACAAGTCATTGATGTGCGCAGCGAAATGCGCCTAGAGCTACAGCGACGCAGCGTCAGCAACATGGCTACCCCTCCACCAGTTGTCTGGCAAGAGGTGTACGACGGGATCAAGCGCCGCCATACTGCCGACGACGCCACGCTCACTATCATTCCATGCGCATTTGCCGTCTCTATAGTGAAGCAGACACGCAAGGAGTGTACGGGCGGTGATGTGTACGAGGCCATACTTTCTCAATCAGTACGCTGTGTAAGCGACAAGGACCCCAGGTCCTTTCTACAGTTAAGTGTGGCGTACCCCACACAGACGACCACCGGAATCCATCGCATGATCGGTTTTGGGCACCCTGATTTGGGTCTGAAACTGCGGTATCCGAAGATTACCCTTTTCATAGACGGCACCTTTTCGGTGGTACCCAAACCTTTCAACCAATGCTTGATTGTGATGGCGTTTGAGCCTGCCGTCAATCTCTACGTACCCATTTGCTACGTTTTGGCTCAAGGTAAGTCGCAAGATATGTACTGGCGGGTGCTAAATGAGCTCATTATTTTGAGCAACAGACATTTGGAGCCTGAAAACGTCACGTGTGACTTCGAAGTGGCGTTAATTAACGCAGTTTTGGAGCAGTTTCCCCGTGCCAACCTCGTAGGGTGCCTGTTTCACTGGAAACAGGCACTACGCCGAAAAATGGTCGATCTACGCATTTCAGACTGCCAAATAAAGAGCGCGCTCAGTCCCGGAAAACTTGACACGCTTGCTGTCATCCCTGTGGACCAAATCTCAAAAAAGGAAAGGACTATTTTATTTTGATCATACCTATTTACAACTTGAATCTGACCTTTTTTATGCTAATATTTTTTGGATCTCACTTTTTTCACTTTATTAGGGTGTTAGATACGTTCGCAGTATTGTCGACGAAACTGGAGCAAAGACAAAGTGGAATGCATTCTGGAAGTATTTTTTGAAGACTTGGATGGAAAGGTATGACGTTACGACGTGGAATGTTCAGGAGATGATGCGTGTTGGGGTTGATGTGATCAACCGTACCAACAATCCATTGGAGAAGTACAATCGTGACTTTGCGTCGTACATTTTAGCCTTTATTGAAGGCACCAAGCGTGAGGCTGCACGCTATATCCAGCGTATCGAGGATATCAAACACCTCCGCCAGAAAGCCCCTCAGCATGCCCCACCAGCGACACTGGAGATTCCTGAAGACTACAAAAGGTTTGAGTAGATGCAGATAGAACCTACTAATACAATATTCCCATGTGTAATTGCTCTTGTGAATTATAGATGAGTAATTGAATTATATTGATAAGACAGTAGAAAACTAGTAACGTTGTCCTAATAGGACAGTGCATGTTGGGTTTGATGTTGTCCTAATAGGACAGTAGTCTGAGTTGCTGTGTGTCCTAATAGGACATAATAAGTGTCGAGTTGTTGAGTGTCCTATTAGGACACACGGAGCCTGGCTTGTTTCGTCCTAAAGCACATTGTGGTGTCCTAAATATTGGATCGCTTATGAACTGATTGCTAGTTTTTTATCCCAGGTTTTAGGACAATAGGACACTTTAGGACACCTAGTAGGAGCATTCTCTCCTACCAAACAAACTGCTTCAGGTCACCTTGATTTTTTTTCGGCAGCCGCCTTCTTGTCAACGTTGCCTGTCATTAGAAATCTTTGGTATCATCTAGTAAGACTCCTTTCAGAAATACCTAGCAGCGTAGCCACTACACTCAGCTGTATGTCATACGCATAGGCGAGTACTATAGCACACCACCTCAGATCTAAACAACAAATCATTTTAACTTCGCGATGGCTTGTAATGTCTACGATTTTGACCGCAGAAGCCAAAATGCCGAGCATATCGTCGGCAAACGGGTGTTTGGTTGGTCGGTGAGTAGTTGCTGGCTGACAGACTTTCCTGTTACCGGTATATTAAAGCTGACGTTCTTGCATAAAACTGAAGTGTAAAGCGAGGCGAGATCCTAATTTGAGCCAGTCGAAAAACATACTTTTTTTTCTCAGATCAGACAAAATATTGGAAAGTCATAATACTTCCTCCGACCAGAAATATAAGCGGGCTACCTGTAGAAACCATGTCCGAAAATATTGGCGGCTCGAATACAAATTTAAGTCTTTAAATAATACGGTTGTATCTCCGATCATGCAATTGCTATTATTGTTGGCAACCACTACTGACTCGATCCCAAATATCGAGTTACACGCCATCCGTAGTACCATCCGATAGACGATGTCAAGTCTTGCGTTTCTACAAGTTCTCACGCCACCCAATTTAAAAAAGACGATGTAGCGAAGACTTTTCAATTTCCAATTCGGCACCACAAAATTTGCGTCCTAATATCTTTGCGACTAAGTGGCCGATTTGATTCAAACTTCGACCAGAAACTTCACCGTAATCCGAATAGTAATTTAGATCAATCAATTTGTTTTAAGCACGAAGAGATAACTACGCCTTTGCCAGTCCAAACAGAGAATAATTTCAAGCAAAGTGGACAAAATGTTTTGGCTATTAAACATATCGATTACGGGGTCAAAGCTACCAGTGAATCAGAGAATAACCTCATTTAAAAAGAGACGACTCAGTGAGCTACTTCCCTTAGACCATGTAATTTCCCTCCTCGACCGCGCTCACCGCATCGCGAGCGTGGAGCTCCATCTTCGTCACTAATGTATATAATGACGGCCTTTGTGATAGGAATCAGATCACGATTATATTCCATGCTATGATTGGTCAGATGATATGGGTACGGAATCAGCTGCGCTTTTGCTGTTTTTTACGATAGGTACAAAGTCGATTGTAAAGCGTCCCGCAAGATAATTCCTCCGCTCTTTTAGGTATTGTCGCGCAAAGGTTTGACATCATTGTTGAGAAGGCAGCATCAAACACCTTGTCGGCAGTAGGGATTTAAAGGTCGGAGATTCTAGTCTCTTCAGCTGGTAGTGCGGTGGTTTCCTTCGCAAGCTGCTCCAGGTACTCCATCACAATACTAACGCGTGAGTGTCTCATTCAATGAGCTGGACTAATATCGTGCTGCTTACTTAGCTGTCTGTATGGACGAATCTTGGCGCCACGATCACCAAAAAACCAGAGTTTCTACATAGTTTTTACATTCGCTCGCGCTGGAAACTCCCAGCCTATTGGAACAGCATGATGCATCATTACACGGCCATGAACGCCATTCTGATTGCTGCTCACTCGCAATACTGTTGCTGGTAGTAGCAGACTTACCCAATTGCAGATCGTTGATAAGGTTGCGAAACTCTGTAGCCATTGTGGACCGTAAATCGCTCATCCGGTATCCAGATCGCACAGCGAAATTTGAGCAACCCCATTAACCTCAAAATGCTGCCGCATTTCAGTAACAACTTGAACGGCAACTTGATTCGGTAGTTTTACGACCATTTCGGACTTAATGCTCTCGATTTTTTTTATGAAGGGTGGCGACCTCATCTCTTAGCTCTTTCACTTGCTTTGCTACCGCGAGATGTGCGGGAATTCCGGTTGCCTTTAGGCCAACACACCGGTGACGTCCCAATTGCAAGAATCGTCACACCACGCTGGTCGTCGAGAAGCGAATTTGCGATAAATACTCGTGCTTTAAATATCGGATGCGACGACGATAGCGTGACTCGAAGATAATGTTCGTGGTGGATGAGTGACGCTATCAAAAATGGAAAAGCCGACTGTAAACCGCGTGGATAGCTACTGTAGCCACTCACAATTTCATTTCGGTAATCTATCGTCATTTTTGAAATCATTTTGGGAGGGAAATGTGGAGGCAATACCCCAAAGCACTCTGAATCGAATGGCAGTTCTGCTATCATTCTTCCACATAGTTGATCAGCTCCCTCTCCAAAATGAATGTATCTGTCTTTCAGCTTTCCGAGGCTTTGGCCCATACGTAAGTAGATCGAGACGGGGGTTGGCCCACTTACTTGCCCAAGCGCATACGAACTACTGCCTTTGCGCAGACTGTGGGTGCCGATGTCCTCCGGTATACAGCCCAGTATACACAATTCTTCCTCGCCCAAAGACTTGATTACACGACGTAACAAGCGGCCAAACGATCCTTTGAGTCACTTCTCAGGAAAAGCTGTTGTTTGCCTCCCTTACCGCGTTCAGGACAGCAAAATAGTAGCACAGCGAGCGCGAGAACAGGGCTTTGCGATGGGGTGTAGGGGTTGGAGTATACATGCTTGCCAAACTTTTCGGCTCCAATTTGATCTCCTTTATGACCTTGCTCCTCAACAATTAGACAGTCCTCAGACCACTCTATATGTTGCAACATGATTGTATCAATCGAATCCGCCCGGCTCATTAAATTCCACATGAGAACAAAAAACCTCCAGCCAAATAACACCGTCGACCAGGCTTGACCTTTCTTTACAGGCTCAAGTTTCATTAGTTTCAGAGCCAGGAGTTCAAATCCGGAACCTTTTAGTTGACGTTTCCCTTCATTGATTTTCATCAGACCCCGCTTCTTAAGATCATTTATGACCTTCTCGTAGCCCTTGAGAACCCGGCGAAGCTCTGTGTCAATTAGGGGGTCCAGCTCAATAAGTTGTGTGCGATAGACGTCCACAAGAGCACTGCGATAGCCATAAATACACGACGCCGAAAGGGGAAGACTTGACGTATCTTGTGCACACACCTTATCGCGGTCACACATGTGAGCAGGACTACAGATATGACCCAAAAAAACGAGAATGGCCTCTTTAGGGAGCGGAATGAGCATCTTCTTCGTGATACTGTCGATTGTCTGCGGGAAGTGCAAGGCCAGCCATGCAGTCATGGCGTTCACCTTCGACTGATATGTACGTTTGGTGCTTATCTTCGTCCTCTTTGACTGGAGCGACTGAGCCACTGAAGCTGAGTACTCAGCGTCTCGCTTTTGCCTGCGCGCTATTTTGCTCTTTTGTTTGTGAAAGGTCGCAATAATGTGTGATGACGTCGTTATCACAAATGCCGTTAATCTGGCATATTAAGTTCGCACCATAGTGAAATCATATATATTTCATTAGGTTCGCAGACGATTTCGGGCAACTATGATCGTCTCCTATCACACGTCAGTCGCGGAATAAAGTAATCTTATCACAAATGCAGCAGATGTAGGGGTTATGTACCTCATACTCGATTCTGCAGCATTCTCTAAGAAGCGCATAGTGCGCTCCCAAATTGTTATTGGGGTGCCGTCTCCTTCCACCATTTTACTCCGGTCGCAGATCTCTTCGCGGTACAAGGCTAGGTATTCATTGATTTGAGCTTTCAAAACGGAGAAGCAACCCTCGATTGGGTTTCACATCGGTGAGTAGGGTCCGAGTCGTAGGAGTACGAGGTCGTCACGTGCTGCGACGCGTTCTTTGGTTTGGCGATGAGCGGGGGCATTATCCAGGACAATAACGACCTTCTTCTCAGCGAAACGGTCATGAAACACGGGGGACGCCTTAACCGTCCGGTAGATTTCCTCAATGAAAACCGTATTCTGCTTCGTTCGAATGCTTTCCCTCTCCAGACAGTGGAGAACCACACCATGGCCGATTTTACAGCGCACTGGACGTGCAAGTTTGCTCCCGTAGACGGCGGCATCACGAGCGTTGCACGCTCATCGCTCCGTGTAAGTCCTCGACGGCGCGCACTGTACACACTGTAGTTAGTCGCATCAAAATAGGTAATACAGTCACCGTATTTTTTACGGTCCTTCAGCGATTTTGCGAGCCTCTGCCGCTTGGTCTTGTTGGTCTTGTTGTTGCATGCATGGGCTCTATGCGTGTCTGTTTGACGGTGACCAGCATGCCAAGCAAATGGCGGCTGATCGTTGATGTGGAGACCTGTACGTTCGTATCTAAAAAGAGCATCGTGCGCATAGCTTCCAAAAGTGAAAGTGCAATTATCGTCAAGGTATTCCTCGAGCTTGGGCTTTGCTACTAGTGTCATCTTCACAGTGCTACCACGGGCTCCACCGCGCGCGATATACCGTTATTGGCGGCCACCTGAAGCAAGCCAGCGCGTCCCGCGAGATGCGCAGCTAGGATACGGAGCTTCTCAGCGGGGGAGTGCTTGCGGAGGAGTTGTTGGAAGGGCATTTGCTTCTGAAGGGGCGAGTTGGAAAGTGAGCTGCTCAAGGTGAGGTTCTCACGCGCATTTTGGCGCGAACGCACCCTCACCACCCCTTCACGAATGATTCCAGCCATCGTCTTTCCTTTCGATGATATCTCTCTCTGTTTGTTTGTTAGTTACTTTAGCTTAAGTTGAAATTTGTACTACAAAAAACAAATTGGCCACTTTGCTTGAAATTATTCTCTGTTTGGACGGGCAAAGGTATAGTTCTGACCGCCCTTATCGCTTAAAAATTTGAAGTACGAGTTTGTAGAACAGCATGGGATAAAATGTAAAAGTAGTTTCTCCAGGAATTTTGGGAACCTTAGATATAACTTTAAATCGCCATGCCTTCGGCAGTTCCTGACCGCTAAGAGTTATTGTGCTTTGCAGAAAGAATGTCCCTCCGTTTTACGGCGTAGATCGAGCTGTTCGGCGCATATAACCATGCATAAAAATGAGATGGGAAGAGGCAGGCATCGATTTATTTAGTCTGTGATCGAATTACCATTTCAAAACGGCAAAAATGGTCGATTTACTGGATATCGGTGTGGACTAAATGGTAGATCGGTCGATTTGGCTGGTTCTACCAGCTTGATCGATTAACGCGACCTGCGTCCATCACGGCGATCTTGTCACAGTGCATGATCGTGTTGATATCTTGTCCTCGAAGGTCTCCTTGATGGTCGTCTGGATGAGTGCGTCCGTTGCTGTGTCCACATTGGCAGTGGCCTCGTCCAGCACCACCACTTTACTGTCCTTGAGCAGTGCACGACCGATACAGATGAGTTGACGTTGACCCACCGACAGGTTGTCTCCACCTTCAGCCACCTCAAAGTCCAGACCCGCACCCCAGCGACGCAGACTGTCAGCCATGTGAACCTTCTTGAGTACGTTCCAGATACGCTCGTCCGAGTATTCGTGGAGCGGGTCGAGGTTTTCACGAAGCGGTCCACTGAAGAGCACAGGGTCCTGAGGGATGATAGCGAGGCTTCGTCGAAGTTCACGCAGGTTGATATTAGCGATATCAACGTCGTCGATGAACACACGTCCGCTGTCGAAGTCGCAGATACGGAACAACGCGACCATAAGTGAAGACTTCCCAGCACCGGTTCGTCCACAGATACTGACCTTCTCACCGGCAGCGACGTCCATGTCAACACCTTTAAGGACAAGCGGGAGTTCCGGTCGGTACCGAAGACACAGCTGATCGAACCGAATCGTCCCTCGAGCTGGCCACGTCTTCTGCTCCGTATCGAGCAGTTCAGCGAGGTGTTTCCCGTTGTCGTCTTCATTTTCAATCTAACGGAAGAACAGCAGTCTCTCCACACTCGTCATGGCGTTATCTGTGCGATCCACACTGCGCATCACCCACTGCACCATCGACGTCAACATGAGTGAGTACGTGAGAGACAGCCCCGAAGTCAACGATCCGACCGTCCCAACCGTAGCTACGAGGTACAGCGAGACGATGAATATGATAGCGACCGACAGAAAGTCGAGCCGAGTGGCCAACCAGCGACTTGCAGCCCAGTACGTTAAGTACAAATTTGCGTTCGTGTCCACCACTCGTCGATTCTGTTTGGTGAAATTGTCGTCCATGCGAAAGGCTCAAATCGTATCGAGGCCCGACAGGGTTTCGCTGAAGAGATTGTACACGGGCGTTCGTGTGATGCCCTCAAGTCTCTTGATCTCACGCGAAGATTTCTTGAAATATTGTCCGATGTAGAGAAAAACTAAGAAGATTGGGATATACACGACGCCAATCCAGTACGACGCAAACGCCGAGACGATAAGCGCACCGAAAGCCAAGGACGCGTTTTGAAGGAGTAATTGGTATTTCTGAGGGAGAATTGAGTCCATTTGGTCCAAGTCGTTCGAGAAGCGATTGAGTATTTGACCCATAGGCGTCACGTCGAAGTATCGTGTTACTGGAGCTTTTAACACGCGTCGAAACAGCTCGTCGTGCATGTTTTGTGACGATCGAACACACGACTCGATGATCATCAGCGCACGACCGAAAGAGAGTGCTGTACACAGCACGAGAAACCCGAGATACCACATGCCGAACATTGTGTTGGAGTACGTTAAGTCCACACCTCGACGAGGCATGTTGCGAGCCCAATGTCCTGGCCACCAGTCAACCACCGTGCGGGCAGCCTGACCCGCACAATACGCAACGACGACCACGAAGATGACGGCCAATCCGTCGAATCCCGTCTCGTCGAAGTACGTCTTGTACACACGTCCACCTACTTTGCCTTTCACGCGGTCTTCAGCCCGAATTAGCCGCCCAGCTTTGTCCTGCGTCTCCGTGACTTCTGCCTTCACGCTGTTGCGTTGGCTGGGGGTGTCGCTGATGATTGAGTCAGCTCGAATTGTCTCGTTGTCTATAGAGGTTGCTGAAGCGTTAGTATCTTCGTTAATGGTGGTAGTGTGCGCTGCTAATTGCGGGAATCGTGCAAGTACCTCTTGGTACGATCCTTGCGCGGCGATCACACCGTCACGCATTACCACAACGAGATCTGCATCTTTTAAAAGATCGTAGTGGCTGTTTAACACTAGCAACCGAGTCTGGTCACCTGCCATACCAACGATGCACTTGTCGAAAATCGCGTGTGCTACGTGTGGGTCCACAGCACTCAGCGGATCGTCCAGAATCAACACGTCCGTCCCTGATCGATACATCGCTCGAGCGATCGCCACTCGAGCCTTCTGACCGCCACTCAAGTTGATGCCACGCTCACCAATCTCCGTCGAGTCTCCGTTGGGTAGAGCCTTCAAGTCCATTGCCAGTTGCGAAGCTTCGAGGACCTGTGCGTAGCGTTCGACATCGTATTCTTGCTCGAAGAGAATGTTGTCACGCAGAGTTGCGTTGCGGATCCACGTGTCTTGACTAACATAAGCCACGCGCCCACCAATTTCGAGCATACCAGACGTACGCGGCATTCCACCGAGGATCGCATTAATGAGACTGGACTTCCCAGCTCCTACCGTTCCGACAATTATCACGAGCGATCCACAATTGATCTCAAGGTTCACACCATGAAGCTGAAAGCCTGGCTTAGCCTCTTGTTGTACTTGATATATCGCCGATTTTTCACTTTCCCCAGCCTCCACCTTAGGCGTATCAATGGAGAAAAAAACTGCTTTTTCGACGTTTTCAACATCATTTTCTTCTTGTGCTGGCGTCACCACGACAATATCGTTCGCTGCTGCATTTCCCGGCCACTTAAAAGCTCCATCTCGAATAGAAATGCGACCTCGATCGACTGTATCTACAGCCACACCACCAGCCAGAAGCAATGGCATCGATGATACCTCGCTGCTCGATAGGAACGCGTCGATGCGAGTGTAAGCGATCTTGGCCTTGGAGAAGCCTCCAATAGCCAGCGGGAGCTGGTTAAGTGCAGCTCGACTGATGTTAACCATTGCGACGAGAGTGAACGCCTCCACTACCGTTATGGTGTGGTTAATTAACACGTACACACCCAACGTAGCGCCAGAGAGGAACGTCGGCGTGATGAAGAGCATCACCGTATTGACGACCTGGTACGAATGGAACTTCCGTAACAAACTCACTTCTTTCACTCGCAGTTTCTCCACACGTTGTGCTAGAGAATCCTCCCACGCGTACAACTTCATAACGCGGATACCTTGTAACGTCCCCGACGTAACTTTAACACGTTCATCGATAACTGTTAGCAACCTCCGCTGCAGTTCAGCGATGCGGTCTCCTTGTTGAATAGAGATCACCATAACTGCAGTTAGAACCGCTGCACCAGCGAGCGCCGAATAGCGATCAAATAGGAACCCAATCAGGACACACGACACCATAAACGCTAACGGCCCCATAACGAGCCATGGACCTTGTACTATTGCAGTAAATACACGCTCTGTATCCACACTCATCAGCGTCAAGATCTCTCCGGTTGTATACTCCTGTCTCGCCGCACTGGAGAGTTTTAACGCCTTCTCATACACTAGCGACATTGTCAGCGAGCGCATATTCGTTCCAATCCGCGACGCCACAAAGAAAAGATAATTTAACGCACACACGGCCACAAGAGAGCTAGCGGTCATCATGGCTACAAGCCAGTAGCCATCTTCAATACCGAACCCATTCTTCTCGCCGTTCAAGAACTCCAGTAGCGCTTTCGTCACGTATGTTTGTAGCCCTAAAGCCAGCACGTACACGACGCAGCCCATGAACACAATCGTGATCTGCACTTGGAACGTCTTCATGTACGCCACAAACACGGGCGAGAGTCCGAAAATGTGCGATCGATGAGGTTCATAGTGTCGTGTTTCGAGAGACTCGCAGGCGTCCGAGGGACACACGGGCCACATGTCGTCAAGCTCCAGAACTTGTCGAGATCCCAGTGAGATCATCGGCTGCATCCATAGCGCCAATGCAATTGATGGTATTGAGGCCTTGGCCAATGGATTTGCCACTTGGCTGAACGGAGTACGAGATGGCTTCGTGATGAGATTTGTGGCGTTGGTGGGCGATGATTCCACATTGTGGCCGTTGTTGCCGGCCATGAGGCCGCGACAAAGTGAGTAAGTCTGGCCAATTGAGTAATGCACCGAGGAATGCACAAACAAATCTCACGAAAAAAAGGCAACTTTTTTGTCGTCGTTTGTAACAAAATGTAGCCATGTCGAAGCAGAGTGTAGTCATTTTAAAACGACCCAATCAAACAGCATTATTGATGTGTCAACAACCAATTGAGAGCGTGCATTTTATACTAGGAAATTGTAAAGAAAAGCTCCACGGTTTTTGGTGGCGAGCACTTGCTGCTACTCCGATCCGATCTACACCCCTGTCCAGCGCGTTCTCTAGGTGAGTGTTGACCGGGCCGCTACGTTTATCAGCTTCGCCGTCGTCTTCTCTCTGAATTTCACCCCTGGCCACCTCCCAAACTCCTCGCCTTCCCATCGAAAACCTTTCTGACGCGACCCTATCTAACGTTAATTCCAGCATGTCGGATGTGGCGGAGTTCGAACGCGCCGTGCTGATTGCCTTCCAGTACGCGAGCGCCAGCCTCGCTGATCAGCAAGCACAGACGTTAAAGCTACAAGCCGAGAGCTTCTGTAACGCCGTCAAGGCCCAGGCGGACGGTTGGCGAGCCGAGCTGCAGCTATTTGAGCATTCCGAGCACGAACAGGTCAAGTTTTACGCTTTACAGGCACTTCAGGAGGCGCTGGCCAAAGGTGTAGCGGACGATGTGGCCTTGGCCGTCCGCGTGGAGCTGTTGGCCTGGCTGCAGAGTCATGTGGCGTACGTGGAGAGCAAATCGCCCTTCCTCAAGACCAAACTGGCCGTCGTTATCACCCTACTCATCAAAAGAGATTACCCGGATCGGTGGCCAACAGCCTTCACTGAGCTATTAGCGCTCTTGCCGCAAGGCGCGTCTATCGTGGAGATGTACTTTCGTATTTTACAGGCTATTAATGAGGAAATCGTCGAGTTTGACGCACAGAGGACGCAGCAGGAGGCCGCGCACAATATGAGAATCAAGGACGCCATGCGCGAAGGATCCTGCATGCGGGAGAGCTTCGACGCCATCGCGCGCGTGCTGGTTAATGCGGATGCGAGCGACGTCATGCGTCAGCTGAGTGCGAGTGCACTGGAAACGCTCAAGAGATACATTAGCTGGGTGGATATCGGCCTCGTGGTGAACGATACGCTGTGGCCATTGCTGGTTAAACTGCTGCGCGAGAGCGAGACGTTCCGCTGTCAAGCGGCCAATTGCGTGTTCGAGGTTATTGACAAAGGTATGACGCCGGAGAAGAAACTGGCCATGCTACAGCAACTGCAGATTCTGGAAATGTTGGCCGCGTTGCCGATCCGGGAGGACGAGGAGTTTGCCGAGGAAATCGGCGAAGTAATTAACTCTGTCGGAGTGGAACTTGTGACGTGTATGGACGCCTTCCGTCACACAAACCGGGCCGACTTGCTGCAGGCCAGCGGCGCTCTGTTGTGTCAACTGATGCCGCTTGTATGGGAGCTGTTTGCGCACGAATCGAAGGACGTGTCCGAGGAAGTGTTTGAGATTGTTAATGCTGTGGGCGGCGCGTTGCTACGTACAGAGACACAGGCGGCCGGAAAGCCCCAAAGCGAGGCGGAAGTGTTCCGGCCGTCGGCGTACATTCCGCAGATTTTGCATGGAATCTATCGACAGACGCGGTTCCCGGAAGACTCGGACTCGGATGTTGCAGAGTTCGAAGAGTACCGACGCAGTCAGTACACGATTTTCCTTAACATTATTCGCCAGCGTCCGCATGACACGCTCGCTTTCCTCACGAACCTGGCTCAAACGCTGCCGGCGCAGTTCGCTGAGATTGATCCGCGTGACCTTGAGAGCTTCTTATCGCTGGTGTATCGATTCAAGGAAGGGATTGCGCCCTTGAAAGCTGTAGCTGCTCCTTTCAACGAGCCCACGAGTCCGCTGTCTCTCATGGTCGTGCAGATTCACAGCAGTATGCTGGCCGCGTCTAATAGCGCGGCAGTGTTGCACCCGTCTGTGCTGCTTACGTACTTCGATTTCGCTGTACGGTACAGCAAAGTACTTCAGAACGAGTCTGCGTTGATCCCCGCAGTACTGGAGATGATGTTCGGCCCACGCGGACTGGCACATTCTGCCGCGCACGTGCGTTCTCGTGTGTGTTACCTGTGCTTGCGGCTTGTGAAGGCTATCGGAGCCTCGGTGAACCCTCACGCGTCCAGTATTCTAAACGCGTTGCAGCCACGTCTCGCGATTGCCAACGAGCGCCAAGAGATCGCTAGCAAAAACAACCCAACGTATCTAGCGTACGATGACCAGTTGTACCTGTTCGAGCTCGCGGGCCAGATTATCGTTTCGCTCGTGCTCCCACCAGAGGAAACAGGTGTGAATGTCAAACAGCTACGATACCGGTACACGATCGCCGTGCTGGACCCGCTCCTGCAAGGCTTGAATACAACACTCAATGAGTTGGCGAACGGCACACTAACTGATGAAGAGTATGTTACGGAACGTTGCGCTTCTCACCTTAACGCGATCGCCCACGTACTGAAGGCGTTCAAGGGCACAGACTGTATGGCGAACCACCAGGAAACGTTTACACAGGTGCTCACGGCCGCGGCGTGCGTGCTGCGTGCACTGCCCCGTACGCCGCGCGTACGCTCTAAGGTTATATTCACACTACACCGCTTGACTACTGTGCTAGATCGTGAACATTTCCTGGGCAACGTACAGGAGACACTGCAGACGCTGATGATGGGCTGCGAACAGCCTGAAGTTGTGGAGATCGTGCAGCTGGTGGACCAGCTTATTATCAAGCACAAACAGGCTCTGGGCGGATTCCTGGACAAGACGACACTGCCATTCGTACAGCACCTATGTGCGTTGATGCCCGAAGGCAGCGCGACGACAAACAGTGAGACGAAGGACGCGCCGCAGCTCGAACGTGAAGCCACACAGAAGTATCTTTACACGTTCCTGCTGCACCTGGTCACGCACGGCCTGGATGCCGTGCTGATCAGCGCGCAGAACGTCGCGCAGCTGGAAAACATGCTGCGTCTCGTGTTGGAAGGCTGTGCCGAGGTGCAAGACGCTAACATAAACCGCGCGTGCTTCTCGATAGGTAGTATGCTGGTAGAGCGTTGGATCGGCAACGGGATGGCGCCGTCGCCGGCGAGCGAGGCGTCCGGCACGGCAACAGCTGCCACGTCGGCAGCGTCCATGGCTCTGCGTGCTGAACTCCGCGCCGAACTATCCGTCGATGGCAAGGCGCGGTTCACGCAGATTGCCGTGCAGGACTTCACGCGCGCCATGTTCGCCGTGACCAAGATGCGTCACTTCGACATCGACGACATGCAGACAATGCTGGCTGTCAAGGAAATCGTCAACATGCAGGCGGTCCTGGCGGCGTCACTGGGCGTCGAGTACTTGACGTTCCTGCGCGACGTGTTTCTGCCGTCGCTGGGCTGTCCGCCAGAACTCGCAGGCCCGTACACGGAACAGGTCGCGACGGGAGACCGCAAGAAGATCCTGAACGCGTACAAGGCGCTGGTGAGCAGGATGAATTAGGGTCAAACACTTAACAGATAACATTTTGGAAGAATAGGATAGTAGGCATGGAGGACTCGAGCACCCCCACACACACAGCAAATAGAGACGCCGTCCCCATCAAATTTCAACGTGCTAATGCATATTGTAGGTGATTCTTTACATGTACCTCGACACTCGCGTGTCATCGCCGTGAAAAGGTGTTTGAGATGGACGGTCTCACGTACGTGTTGAGTGTGCGTTTGGCTGGTCGTCCTTTGCGTCATTCCACGATTTGCAGTCACTGCTGGAAGATGGACGAGAAAGACCGGAGCTACGTGGAGGCGCCGCCTACGCCACGGGCCAAGCCGTCGACGCAGTTCAGCCATCTACCGAACCCGTTGGCGACGGCGTCGCTGCCCTCCATCATACTGGCGCAATGGATTCAGCCCATGGTATCACTCGGAGCTCGACGTGTGCTGGAGAAGGAGGACGTGTGGCCTATTTGCTCGAGTGATGCGTGCGAATCGCTCGAGAAGCGCTTCAGACAGGTGTACGAGCCGAACCGTCGGCACGTATTTAACATATCGCCGCTAGCAGCAGCATACACACGGACGTTCCGAACCGAACTCACGTTCGTGCTGATAACTTGCGTACTGTACGTGGTCGCGTTGGCGCTGCAGTCGTATGTGGCACAGGTGATCCTGCAGTTCCTAAACGAAGAAGAGAACCTATTCCGTATCTCCAGTGGCTACTGGTTGATGGTCATGATGACGCTCAGCTCGCTCGTGGCTGTGTGTGCTCTCAACTACGTCTTCTTCTCGGCGTCGCGCATTGGTGCCAACATGCGGTCCTTGACCATGTCGCTTGTGTTCAATAAGACCTTGAAGCTGTCGAGTGCTGCGCGACAGGACTACACGACGGGCGAGGTGTTGACCCTCATGAGTGTCGACACAGAACGGGTGTTCTTGCTGATGATCCAAGGCCCGTGGCTGTTCATGGGGCCGTTATCATTCATCATCTCAGTTGTGCTGATCGGTATCCTCTTCGACTTCTACTCAGCTCTAGGAGGAGCGGTCGTGCTGGTCGTAGTGATGGTCATTTCGGCCAAACAGGGCCGTCGCATTGCTGGCTTCCAGAAGAAGCTACTCCAGGTTATAGACGAGCGTGTCAAGGTGACGTCTGAAGCTCTCCAAGGTATTCGAGTTATGAAGTTCTACGCGTGGGAAGATTCTTTGGCTCAACGCGTAGAGAAACTTCGGGTGAGGGAAGTGAGTTTACTGCGGAAGTTCCACATGTACCAGGTTGTCAACACGGTCATGCTCTTCCTCACGCCAAGCTTCGTGTCTGGTGCTACGTTAGGTATCTACACGCTTATTCATCACACTATCACTGTTGTTGAGGCGTTTACCCTCGTAGCCATGGTCAACATTTGCCGAACAGCGCTGAACCAGCTGCCCCAGGCCGTCGCAGGCATCTCAAAGGCGAAGATCTCGTACGCTCGTCTGGATGCCTTCCTTACTAGCGACGAGATAGCTGCGCAGCAAACTCTTCAGACGGAAGAACGCACACCTACGGTTAAGTCCTCATTGCTGAGCAATACGAGTGATGGCCACAGTGCGTCGATCGGACGTGGGCGAATTTCTATCCGCGACGCCAGCTTTGCGTGGCCAACCACCTCTCAACGGGGCGTTGTAGTGACAGAGGAAGCAGAAACTCAAAGCAGCACCAGCAGTGGCTTTAAGCTTGACAGTATCAACTTAGAAATTGAGCGTGGTTCGCTTGTGATGATCGTGGGCAAGGTTGGAGCTGGGAAGTCCAGTCTACTTAGCGCTCTACTTGGTGAGATGTCGCGCACGTCTGGTATGCTCGAAATTGGTGGACGCGTGGCTTATGTTAGTCAAGACACGTGGATCCGCAACGCAACTCTGCGCGACAACATTCTCTTCGAGCAAGAATACGATGTCGAACGCTACGCACAGGTCCTCGAAGCTTCGCAGCTGGCAATGGACTTGAAGGCTCTACCCAATGGAGACTCGACGGAGATTGGTGAGCGTGGCATCAACTTGAGTGGCGGTCAGAAGGCTCGAGTGGCGATCGCTCGAGCGATGTATCGATCAGGGACAGACGTGTTGATTCTGGATGATCCGCTGAGTGCTGTGGACCCACACGTAGCTCACGCGATTTTCGACAAGTGTATCGTTGGTATGGCAGGTGACCAGACTCGGTTGCTAGTGTTGAACAGCCACTACGATCTCTTATCTCAAGCGGACCAAATCGTGATTATGCGTGATGGAGCTATCGTTGGTCACGGCTCGTATGCAACTGTGTTGGCCGAGTTCCCGTCGCTAGCATTAGAAAGAAGCGATCGCGACGCTAACGAGAATGCGAACGCTACTACTAATGCATCAGACCTGAATAAAATTGAGGAACGCATCGAGAACGCAGATGATAATAGCGCTGAGAATGAAGCTAGAGAGGACGCCACGAATGCGTCATCCGGCCGATTGATTCGTGCGGAGGATCGTGTCAAGGGCACAGTTGGGGCACACGTGTACAAAGCGTATTTCGACGAGACTGGAGTCAATGGTTGGATGGTAGTTCTAGTGATCAGTCTCATGTATTGCGTCGGTCAAAGCGCGCGGACGACGGTGGATTGGTGGCCTGGCCATTGGGCTCGTAACATGCCTCGACGTGACGTGGACCCGACGTATTCTGGCACGACTTTCGGCATGTGGTATCTCGGACTTATCGTGCTGTGTTCAGTCCTCACCTTGGTACGCGGAGTTATGATGATCGAGTCGTGTATGCGTTCGTCTCAACACATGCACGACGAGTTATTCCGTCGCGTGCTGCATGCTCCTGTCACTCGGTACTTCGATGTGACTCCGATTGGGCAAATTCTGAATCGATTCTCGAACGACTTGGACCAAATGGACACGACGCTGCCATTGGAGTACCAGCTCTTTTTCCAGAACGTGTCTATGGCTCTTGGTTCGTTGGTGGTCTCGGCTTTCGCGTCGTACTGGATCGGCGTCTCCTACATTCCGCTCTTCATAATCTTCGTCATGACAGGACAATACTTCAAGAAGACTTCAAGAGAACTCAAGCGACTGGAAGGTATCACACGCACTCCGGTTTACAACCTTTTTAGCGAGACATTGTCGGGGCTTCCGACGATCCGAGCGTTCCGTATGGAGAGGGAATTCTCTGCGCGCAACCGTAAAGTTGTGGATGCGAATGCGAACATGTACTTGACGTACTGGTCTGCCAGTCGTTGGCTGGCAACGCGTCTGGATCTCATGTCCGTAGTCATCATCTTCGTCGTCACGCTGTATCTGGTAGCTACGCGCGGCGAGATCGGCTCGATGACGTCGGGACTTTCGCTCACGTACGCGCTCATGCTGACATCGGTCATTCAGTGGGTTATGCGGTCAGTGGATCGTGTGGATAACGCGACAACGAGTGTGGAGCGACTACTTTTCTTCCGCGAAATTGAGCGAGAAGACGATGGAGGCAAGCAGGTTGACGACCTGGTTGCTACTGACCATCAAGTTGGTGCTGGATCAGGTAACTCGTGGCCGTGGCGTGGTGCAGTCCGCTTCGAGGGGCTGTGCCTACGGTATCGACCGGAACTACCGCTTGTACTTACAGGTGTTGACATGGACGTCGCTGCCGGTGAGAAGGTCGGTATCTGTGGACGTACCGGTGCTGGGAAGTCTTCACTTATGGTCGCGTTGTTCCGTATCTGCAACTTCGACAGCGGACGTGTGTTCATCGACGACGTTGATATCGCTACTATCAACCTGCGTGAACTTCGACGAAGCCTGGCTATCATCCCTCAGGACCCTGTGCTCTTCAGTGGACCGCTTCGTGAAAACCTCGACCCGTTCCGCGAATACTCGGACGAGCGTATCTGGAACGTACTCAAGAAGGTTCACATGGCTGACAGTCTGCGTCGCTGGGGTGCGGGTCTGGACTTTGAGGTGGCTGAAGGTGGAGACAACCTGTCGGTGGGTCAACGTCAACTCATCTGTATCGGTCGTGCACTGCTCAAGGACAGTAAAGTGGTGGTGCTGGACGAGGCCACTGCCAATGTGGATACAGCCACGGACGCACTCATCCAGACGACCATCAAGGAGACGTTCGAGGACAAGACGGTGCTGATCATCGCACACCGTATCAACACGATCATGCACTGTGACAAGATCGCCGTGATGGACGCAGGTCGCGTGGTGGAGTTTGATTCTCCGTCAGCGTTGTTGGCACAGCCAAAGTCTGTGTTCGCTGCACTGGCCAAGACGTCGATTGCAAACTAAACTGAAATCGTGCCCTTAATTCAGTATGATTCCTGCTATTATGTACGACTGTAAGTTTTGTTTTGAAAAAAAATGCTTCCGAAACTACAGGTTGCGGATTCACCGACGGCGAACATTGGAGTTTATTTTTTTGTCAAGCCAAACATGCTACGGGAAGCCATAAACCTTAAGGTCTGTTTTGTGAAAACCGTCGCTAATGAGACAAAATAATAATAGTAGTATTGCTTGTTATCAGAATACTGTTTTTCAGAATTATAAAACAGAACAAGTATTGGTTTCTGGACAAAAATAATAATTAATCCTGAGAAAACGTTTCTAATTCAAATACTGCGAAGTACCGGTAAACTTACTTTCATTTTAGAGGTGTTCGACCTGATATCACAGTTTCTATTGCTAAAATAGAGACGATATCAGAAAAAAAGATTCTAATAGCTCCAGTCCAGATCCAGAAGTGTGTCTTTCTGAAAAAAACTACGTAGTAGAAAGTAGTCATAACTAACGCTACTAACTGGTAATAGCTGGTCATAAGTTCAAAACGCCCCTCGATGCTGTCCGGAGCTGCTAAATTGAAATGGGATTTGGCAACGTACACTAATCCTGGTACGGCTAGTGCCGAATTATAATTAGACACGATCAGTTGCAAGCGTAGTTGTGTTTAATTGTTGACTAATAATTACCAGTGACGAGAAATCAACCTACAAATCTGTGCGTGTCTGGGCATCATCCGCCAGTCTATCCCAGTTCCAGTAAAACCGCATTAACACAGTCATCACACACAAGGCGAAGACATTGCCCGCTGTCATACCAATCCACAGTCCCTCGACACCGAGGTCACACTGGAAGGCAAGTAGAGCGCCAAATGGAACTCCGAAAAGGTAATACGCCACTCCGTTCGCAATCGCGGCAGATTTTTGCTTTCCTGCGCCACGGAATACTCCTTGCGTCACAGTATTCAGACCGTCAACGATCTTTTGGGGTGACATAAGTGCCATCACCCGAGCAGCTAGATCAGCGCTTTTGCCTCTGTCCAAGAACAGAAGCGGGATATATTCACTCAGTCCAAGCGTGAGCCCCGCAAAGAACAGCGTCACCACCAACGTAATCATGAGAGCTACATTGCGTGCCACCTTAGCAGTCTTTGGCTTGTTGGCTCCAAGACAGTTGCCCACACGAATATTTGCAGCTACTGAAAGACCGGCAAAACTCGTATAAACCAGCATATCCACGTTAACCAACACGGAATGCGCTGCAACTGCCACGACACTGTCAGGTAACAGACCTGCAAGAACGGAGAGCGCTTCGAAAGCCCACATTTCCATTCCAAGCATCAGCATGCCAGGCACACCAAGTCGTAGAAAGAGACGCACGTAGCGCGTTGCAGCCTTGAAATCCCACGGGTGGCACCACCACTGCTTCAAGTGGTGCGGACGCCACATGAAGTACGGTACAAGCAGCAGAGGGAGCGTGAAGTTGCCCAGACTCCTGGCAATAGCGATCCCGTTGAAGCCGATTGAAGTGTGGTAGGCGAGTCCGTAACCGGCTGCGACGTTCACTACGTTACCGATCGCCGCGATCGTGACGAGGGGGGTCATGATGTTCTGAGCTTGAAGCACTTTGCGAGTAAGCTCATAGAGGAACAAGCACGGCACACCTGGCAGCATCCAGCGTGAGAATTCTCCAGCGAAACTCGCGACCTCTGCATCTTGACCTAACCATTTGAGGATCGGTTCGGTGAAGGTATTGATGAGAAGCATGGGTATGAGAGTGGCGGTGAGTACGATGACACCGGTCTGGAAGTAGATTCCGATCTTCTCGAGTCGCTTGGCTCCGTAAGCTTGAGAACAGAGCGTGTCCAGTGCTGATGCGAGTCCCAGTCCGACCGATAGCGACGTCATGTTCAGCGCCTGCATGTAGTATAGGATGCGGTTTCAGTACGACTAAAACAACTATGGGATGTCTGGTTATCGTACCATGGTAGAAAAAGTAGCCGCGTCGATGTAATGTTGAGAGTGCGGTGAATCCATGTTGCCGGCAAGGATGATGGAAGTGAAGCCTGGAAGAAACTCTAGAAATGTGGTAATCATCTGAAACAAAGCGGGTCACTCTTGTCAGCGATAGCAGGATGCAAATGCCAAGTGTACGCACCACAGGGCCAACAAGTTTGACCAAGATCTTGGCTTCATCTTTTGTTTGTAGCGTTGGCTCGTCAGCACGGTCGTGCTCATGAATACTGTTGGGTGTAGTGATACTCACGAAGGAATCATCGCAGTTGCTCTTCTCGTGGTGTAGGAGCTGTAAGCTCATTTCGATTCTCAGGAGCGAGCAAAACAAGAAATGCCAGAGAGAAAAAAACCGGTCGGAGAGTGAAAAAGGCAGTCCCGCACGCCACGATCACCCGAAAGATTGTACAGAAGTCCCTCAAAGTAAGCGTAGGGGGGACCGAGAAACGATCTTAGAGGGTGATAAAACAGATGTTTTAAATGTACTGATATTTAGTTAAGAAGCGAGGCGATCTTGCTCCTGTCCGACAGAATGCCTGCGTGCCGCCAGCAGTTCTGAATGGTTTTGGACGAGATCTCGTCGTAGGCCATCTGACATCAACAAAGAGCGGTGTAGATATCAACTTTCTCTTGGTCTCGCCCTTCTAAAAAGCGGTCGACACAATCAAGTACCTTTAAATCCCTGTACATGTACTTACTCTTTAAGGGTCGAATAATGCCTTGATCCAACGGCTGCAAACACGAAGTCGTATTCTTGGGCAAAAACTCCAGACGTACATTGCTCAATGCAATGGCGGGTCGTGCATGTGAACTCACGTTGATGGCCTTTATCACCTTGCCTGTGATAGCCTCCACCTTGCCGTCCATGGCCTTAAAGACCTTCGTAATGCGAGCGTCCGTCTCCTGGATTTGGGGGCTGACGAGCTACTTGCGCTCTAGCTGACAGGGCTCCATAGCGGCCCACTTAGACCCCCCAGCGATAACATTGCGAGCGACATCGCGTGGAAGAGATTTTTCCAGCTTGAAAGCACGTGCTGCCCACGCTGCGAGCTGTGTGTTGAACAGTTTGCCTTTGGCGCGCATATCCTTCGCATACTTGCACATGGCGATCTTCTGCTCCATATTAAGGCGGATCCGGCGCGGCATGGGGCTGGCGGTCAAGGTCGCTTGGACGAGTGATAGTGTGCATAAAGGGAGGCGTACGTAGCGGGAGCATGAGTTACCTCGTACATTTAATCTCCATTCTCAGTCTTTCAATGGTTTACTTGTATAAACAATAGCGAAGAGGCCGGACCGGTCTGGAAATGATGGTGATCTTTCCCGCCGATCCTGCAGTTCATCCAAAATCAGTGCATTTTGTGATTGGCCAGCTGAGCCAGTATGTACCATAGCAGATATGGCGGGGTATTACGTAAGTAGGTGACGCTTACTTTGAGGGACTTCTGTACGGTCGTCCAGTCTTGACCCGCGGGGGTGTTATCGCCCTCCTCGTCTACATACAGCGTCACTACCACCACTAATCTGACATGACATGAGTATTACTACAGACATAATCAATGAGTGTAGCAATGCATCCACTCATCAAAGTTGACTTCATTCGATCATACCACCGACCTTTCGCTTACTAGGCGAGTGCTCAAATCTTTTAAAAATGGCACGTGCTGGAGAGCCCAACTGGGAAATTATGAGACGGGGCATTTGCCCCAACTCGCCCCAAACCGCGACCAAACAGAGACCAAACGAGCCCAACCTGAGCCCAATCCAGCCCAAGTGGAAGCCTTCTCCTCGTGTATACGTATAGCCGAATAGAGCGATGTGTTGGAGCTGGATCTCTCAGCGTCCACGTGGTCTCGGCGCCGCGACTGAATTTCAGCGTTCTCATGGAATTCAAGCTTGATAGAAATCAGTCGTATCAACTTTAAGATAACATGTGAGAAGGCCAAAATATATTGAGAGTTAGCGATAGTCATTCGTCTGCGCTGCCTCTACAGACACGTACAAAGATAGCGGTAACGCAGGCACTGCAGCATCTTTTTGTCCACGTGACCTAGTGGTTCTGGGCCACAAAACATTTCAAAGCAAGCAAGACGTAGATTCCGCAGTTGTAGCTGTCAGTCTAAACTCCGAGTCCTGCGTCGAAGACTCTCACCCGAAACGCTTTCTGTGCACCTGGAGGCAGTAGCACTACCATCGTCTGCGCTACGGCACGTACGTTGACGACGTACGAAGAAGAACTCGAATCGTACACGTAAATGACTCCACCCTCCAAGTCCATCATAATAGCACACCAGTGGTTACCGCTGCAATTCACTGGAATCAACACCTTCTCCGTCGTCAGCCCAGATAACGCCTCTCGAATGATTTCGCTGGAGGTGTTCACGCTTCCGTCCACAACGATTCCCAGTGTCGAAGAGTCGAAAACGGCAATATTGGGCTTACAACCAAACAGTTTGGCCAGTATTTTGTACATTACCTCGTCCGCTATCAGCTCTTTACCTGCCAATGCTAGCACATCCATCTACACAGACGTAGTTAGTTTACCATCATACTCTCAATTACACACTGGTTCATACCTGTGGGGTCAAAACTTCAATCTGTCTCAGCTTTGACGGCAGGGCGGGGTCTTCCTCGATTGAATAGCTGGCATTACCGCAATTAGACAGAACCAGGTTCTCTATCCATGCCAGCGCGCGGGCGATCCTTCTGAATGCTGGTGCTGCAGCGTGCCACTTTTTCATGAGCGTGATCGTTGAGTTGAAGAATACTTCAACTCCTACTATTTCTAGAGCAATGTCCAGCTCGCGAATGCCACGATTCTTTCGCTGAAACGCTGACACTTTAGCCCCGCACTTCCTTATTAGATCCATCGGAAAGATTCTAACTATTTCATCAGGCCGCATCAACGGCTTCGTAGCTGGAAGCTTCCTCAAGTCGTGCGCGATTGGCGGCTTCGGTTTCGTCGCGAAGACGAAGAGCTTAAACATGAGTATGCTCTTTGGGCCGAGTCAAAAGTTTCATTGTCATAGAGAAGCTCGAATGCCGAAATTAGGTTGAGTTGCTTATCGTGCATCTCGAGATCCTCTTAAACCACCGCAATATGTAGTTCCCCCCCCGTTTATCTTTTACAGCCTTTGGTTTCTGTTTTGGGCGGCCTTTTGCTTTTGGTGGACTTTGAAGCTCGAATTCGGCTTCGCCTTCATCGAGGTTGACGCTGTTAACCACCTCGATCACCTCTGCACCTGATTAAGCCGACTGAGTCGACTCTGTGCCCAACTGGACCGACTGATCCAACTCCGTGCCCGACTGAACCAACTGAGTCAACTCCGTGCCCGACTGAACCAACTGAGTCAGCTCCGTGCCCGATTGAACCAACTCCGTGTCCGGCTGGGCCACCTCGCTACTCGAGTGAGACGCAGGATCCACATGAGTGTTAGAGTTCGTTCCAGCTGAACAATTATCCCTTGAAAACTCCTCGCGATTTCCTATAGGTGCAGATTTATCATGAACAGGATCAGCGGCAGGAATAGCATCAAATTCACCATGCTTGAACAGCGTGGCCACGCTGCGTAGAGCTTCCATTGCCAACTTATACTCAATCATTCCCATACCGCTCATATGTTCACTAATTGTGGTCGCGACGAGATACGCTTCTCGAAATTTGCGGTTGCTGTCCCAAACAGTACTCGCTTCCGGCAACAGTACGCAGTTCTAGTTTGTGGATACTGGCTGTGAGTGTGCTTCGTTAACGGGTGGTTGTGCTCTAGCCGCACAGACGTTAGTTTCAAAGCAAATTTCTGCCCAGAATGATCAACCATTTGCACACAGGCATTGATCTGCAACCACAGGAAACTCTGTTAGCCCACCTCAACCCAACCAACCCAAATCGTACCCAACTGTGACCAACTACACCAACTCGAACCCACCTGTGCGCCACACTGCATAGCTCTCGAATGCTGGCGCTTCCTCTTGCCTTTGCCTTTTGGTTTGTATTTTCCCCCGTGCGTACAAATGTACGTCCTTGCGTAGTAAATCTATTCGTCGGGAACCAGTGGTGCCTTGGAGCCAGACTCCTGAATTTTTTTGTTCCTCTCAGTAACCTTGTTATTTGTCCGGACGCGAAAGCTCTACATATGACCAACATCATGCATATATCCAAGTTGGTAACCACGCCGTCTCCACAACTATTTATAACAAGTAATAGCATCTTACCTGGTATGTTTCGGCCCCGTATGATTCAAGAAACTCCTCCAAGTCGCCCCATGACTCAAACGCATATCTGCGCGGAGGGGCTGCTTGAATCCTTTCCGATTCCTTACTTGAGTCAATTGCTGCGGTCTGAGGTGACGCCGACGCTCCATAACGAACTTGTTTCGACCGGCTCTCGCAGCTTACAGCACTGGAGGCATTTGATGATGTTCCCACCCACTCCTCGTCGCTTTTGTTAAGTGAACACTCATCCAAATTCTCGCTGACTTCGTCGCTGGATGACACGGGGGAGACCTCCTTGACGCGCAAGTTCTTGGCAGGCTGGTTCCCGACTGCTTTGGCCCGTAAGTCGCGCGATGCAGGGCGTGTTACCGTCGTGACGCGTTGATCGCATGCTGCCGCTACGCCGCAGTCGCGGTCGCTCTCCATGGCTCGTATTCCTGCTCGACTCCCCACCGATGAATTAATGGTGAGGAGGGGGGATCGTAATATACACTATACGCCGGACGGATGAACTAGTGGGGTAGGGTAATGATCTGAAGGACGATTTGACGACCATAGTTGGGCTCTCCAGCCACTCTCTTTAAAAATTGAATGCTTCGATGCAGTTTTGTGCCTCGTTATGATATGAACCGGACGCAAGTGCGTCGCTGGCTTAAGTAACCGGCTTGGTTACCATGACGAAAAACCGTTTGAGGTTGAAGATGGTGTTTCCGTCGCTCTGTTTCGGGTACGCCGCAGCGATCATTTCGCGGTACGTTTGTTCGAACTTGGTGGCGTCCTCAGACGGCTCACCCAGCGCTTCCATGTACGGACGAAGATCTGTGGAGCCGGTGAAGTCGGCCACGGGGTTGTCTCCCTCCAGGACCTGCGCATATGTAGCTTCCCACATATCGAGCTCCACGCCGCCGTCGACAGCCTTAAACAGCTCATAGTAGAAACTCGGGTCTTTGTCACAGGTGACCCATCGAACGCCAGCCACGCGGTCACTGAGTCCCAAATGCGCCGCTGCGTCGACCATACGCTGGTGGCTCGGCTGTAAACGAGTGTCTGGGATTTGAAAGGCCAAAACGCCACCAGGCTTGAGGAACGAATACAAACGGGGAAGGATCTGCTTGTGCTTGTCGGCACTCACCCACTGTAGCGCAGCATTGGAGAAAATCAAGTTTCCGGGTCGCTCAGGCGCATAGGTCTCGAAATCGGCCTGGACGTAAGCGAAACCCTGCGTGTTAAGGGTCTCGTTCTCGTCGTGCTCCTGTTGAGCGACCTCCAGCATCGAAGTAGACGAGTCCACGAACGTCACGTGAGCACTGGGCCACCGCTTCCTGTTAGAAAGCGGTCCTCGTTAGCATTAATAGCTTACAAGTTTATCAAGAGCTGTTTGTAGGGCCGCCGTACTGGAATGATGGAGCCATGTTGCCCGTGCCAGCGCCAAGGTCGATGATCTCAACCGAGTCGTCGTCAGTAGTGGGGAAATCTGACACCCGCGCGAGCAGCTCCAGTGCTGGGCGCAGACGCTGGCGCTGGAATTTTAGGTACTTTAGGGGTTGCCAGGTTTGAGTGGCGCGTGCTACATGCTGAGCCATCGTGGCGTGTGTGGCGTAACCTTTCCAGGTAAGCTATGAAGTGATAATTCGACTGTCGGCGTCGATGGGAACTGCTGGTACATGTACATCACGTCAGTGTGCGTGATGTACGATTTTTGATGCGTGCAGCCAATGAGAGCGCTGAAAAGAGTTCTTTTAAGATAGGCAACCTGATCTTGGTCACCAACTTGTGCACTTTGTTCACCTCGCACTGCTTTTCACATGCATTGACATGAGCGCCAAGCATGGATTTCATTCGAAAATCAACTTTGTTGGCCCGTAATCTTTGAGTATTTTAAGATTACGGACGGGCGAGCCTCACCCATCACATTCTGTGGCCGAATCGGGGACTTATTATAGCGTTAGGGGCAACGAGGTGAGGGGTGAGGGGACGGAAGCCAATGCGCGAGTGGCTAGGAGCAATGTTTGGACACGGTGAGCCATCCCCCAATGAGGAACCCCCATGACCTTAATTTTTATTTGCAGCAGTAATATTTCGACCTGTACGTGACCCGCAAGAAACCTTGGTGTCCTGTGCATTGGGCTCGAAACATGGCACGCTTCGATCAAACTCGGGAACAGCCTATCAGTATATTGCAATGATTATTACGTGCTTCTGTGAAACCCAGTACATTTTTTTATTTTATTGTAAGAGCACTGCTCTTCAGAGAACTATTTCGTGAAAACCTCGACCCGGTTCGACGGGTACTCATTACGAGCATATCCGAAGTGTATTAAAGTAGGTTCAAATGACCGTCAGTATCTTCTTGGTAGTCGTATGGCTGAGTAAGTGTCCACATAGCGCAGTGGCCACGTCCAGCACCACCACCTTTTTGTCCTTGAGCAGTGCACATCCGATACAGATGAAACTACATTGATCAATCGACAGATTGTCTCCACCTTCAGCCGCCTCGACGTCTAGACCAGCACCCCAACGAGTCACTGTGCGATGTACATGCACTGTGACAAGATCGCCATGACGGACGCAGGTTGTGTGGCGGGATTTTGATTCTCCGTCGTCATTGTTTGCACAGGCTCAGTCCGTGTTTGCGCTAGCAAATCACAGCTAAGATATCTTTTGATCGCACTGTTAAAATACAAGTACAGCACTTTCGATGAGATTTTCCATATGCGTAGCTTAGGTGCTTGCTTGGATCTCTTGCTGACGTGTGATACGGTATCACTGATACCTACGTCATGGATGTATGCCCTTTGTCAGGTACCCCGATTATGGCAATACTTTCTTATGTAATCATAAATATATTTACGGCACTCGTTACACCCACCAACTATTTCGACATAAAATGGACGAAATTTGAAAAACACATGTGAGATTAGGGTCAGAAGGTACCGGTATGACTGTCGGTATGAATCTCTACGAGTTAGTTTTTCCTACAACTGGTCCCCAGACCAGCTATAAACCAATTTAAGTCTATTACATAGGTGACGCATAAATGTTTTTTTTTTCAACAATGTCAAATGAGTTTTAATCAAACATAGGCAATGTGTCGGAATCCCCAACGTTATAGTGCAGACTGATACACGCAAAAGAAGAAGAAGGATAAGAAAAAGGAGAAGAGGGGGGGGGCGAGCGCTTTAATATAGATAAACCCGCTATTTATTAGAAAGTAGGCATAAAAGTATAAATAATCCATTTTCCTTTGTAGCTACTTAGAAGTATTCTTGATTTGCATCCCGAAGAGTGCATAGCAGAAGATCTTGTAGCAAATTCTCTCCTGTTCTTTCTCTGATAATGGTTCCGTATCAGTAAATACAATCTTGTCTGGTGACAATACAGACAACGACGGAGAAATCTGACACCACTGAATAGCATCGAACCATAGTAAAAGAAAAAACACAGAGCCCGACACAAAAATCCGACGCTTCATTTGATAGGTTAATAACGCGCTCTAAAAAACAAAAACAGCACAGAAAAAACATGTGAATGAAAAAAAGGGGATTATATTCAGACGGTTGCTTCCGGATACCTCGGGATAGCCTTTTCGAAGCTACAAATTATCGCTTTCTTTTCTAGCTTTTCCCAAGCAGCAAAAGTAGACTGTAGAGCACGGATGCGCTTTTCCTTAGCGGTTCCACCAGTGCGTCTACCACAACGGCTCCGTATTGTTGCTTTTAATGGTCGCATCGCCCCCACATCTAGCGGCTAGCACACAGCAGCGCTATTTGGGGGTAGTGGGACCAAAGTAGCATTGGCTTCTTCAGCCACAAGCCGTTGTCCTTCTTCGGAAACGTGACATATAAAGTTGTCAACCAGAAGGATAGCGGGGCCATCAATTTCAACTTAGAAAGTTTTTCTACGTAAAATTTCCGCACACTGGTGTCCATCCATGCGCTCTCCTACATGGCGTAGAAGTGGTCGTCAGGGCACTGCTCTATTTCATTTTTCTCGATGCGGCCACCAGGGACGCCATGGATGATAAACAAAATAGGCATTTTCATCCCTAACAAATTAAAAATATGTTAGCAAAATACAATTTAATTTTTTTGCAAAACAAATAGCATACCGTCATCGTGAACGGTTATCACTGTGGTCATTCGACCGGTGTGCTTATCCGCACCCAAAATTCCCGCGGAGTCCTTGCGCCCTTTGCCAGCCCACAACTTTATTGGCGGCATGTCGAACAGTATGGCTGTTTCATCGACATTTAGAATGCCCCCGCCACTGAAAGAACTATACTTGTGGACCAAAATTCAAGGGAAAAGCTTGCACGGGTCTCTTCGAGGTCTTCAAATGGCTTTTTAGCCGCTTGAGGGTTTTGGGACGAAAACCCGTTGCTATGTAGCGCAAAATTTTAAATTTAAAGTAAGGATTAGTACAATTTTAAATATTTGCACAAAAGATATTTTTACCGATTAGCGAAGCGCTGTACCATGCGCTCTAGCGCAAGCTCGCCCGCTTCTTTTTCGTTTATGGAGATTGTCATCCACCCGGGATGAATTTGCCACATGAGCTGAATCACGCCGGCAGTCGATCAAACCTACATGTTAATGTAAGAAAGTTAGCTCAATACCACAAAAGCACATTCACATTGACTTACTTGCTTAAGTCTGCGCATATCCTTCATGTATGTTAAAAGGTCAGAGACGCCAGGAGAATTTTCCTTGCGTCCCTGACCTTGTAACGTCTTTGACGAGTGGTGTCCCTTGAAATTGCGTATTGCGTCCTCTTGCTTGCGCCAATCGTAGATAGTTCCTCGCACAATATTAAATTTTTCGGAGGCGGCCTTAACGCCCTCACATTTAGCGATCGTCAGGGTCTCGCGCTTTTGTTTCATTGTGAAGCTTCGCTCAACGCGGTTCATCGCGCAAAATGACTTGGTAATTACCGACGCCCAAGAAGTGTTTCATCTCCAGCCATTCAATTTTTTTTGTAAGTAATTGGATCAAGAACTTCTTGTATAAAGATATGCTTGGATAAAAATACATCAATAGTTACTATGGGAAAGAGGTGTGCTCACAATCACTAGTCGACTTTTTGTGTCTGTCGGATTTCTCCGTCGCTGTCTGTATGTATGTTGACACGTAGTAGTCGAGCCAGTGAGCCACATATACGCCACAACTGAATCCGTCTTGTTGAAGCCACGCGCGAAATTCTCGAATCTCCAATTTGTAGGCTGGGTCGACTAGTTTTAAAAATACGTTTACCACCTTCCTTTTCACCTCATCTTCATGTTTCTTCTTGTGAAAGGGGTCGTAGATCCAGATCACGCGTCTCTTAATATCAATTATAACTCCACACCAATGTCCGTCTTCGATATTAATGTAGATTGGACAAAACATTGCTAAACCATCGTGACATTTGCTGAAAATCTGGCTCTTTGTGTCTAAGAGTCGATTGCGCTGGTCATCATCCTTAAAATATACAAACGTCGGGTTGATAACGTGAATATTTGAAGGGAGATTCCACGATGCCTCTGCTGCCATTCGTTGCGTTGAGCTCATCAGACACTGATCAGTGGGCCATCCGTCGTCGCCAAATCTAGCAAGCTCGGCAAATTCCACGGACACTCCACCAGAATTAATAGACCCGCGTAGATCTAACTCTAAAACAGTCTCCACAATCGTATTTCTCTCTTCCTCCTCATCAGGATTTTCAACCTTCACACTTTTAATCCATGATACCAGCGCCTTTGCTCCACGAACAACGGATGCCATGGAATGCCATTGCTGCATAATTGCAATATCGTTTGCCCGAAACGTCCCCAACTCCAAAATCACCACGGCAACATCGTCATGGGAGACATTCCTCCCATTGTTTGCTTTCTCGCGGAGTATCACGTTTTCAGCTGCAGTGATACACTTCTTAACTAGCGCAACTACAATTAACAGCTCATATAAATGTTAGTTTCAATTTACACAATAGTTGGTATCGTGTCGTTGGTAATTGGTGCAGAGTTGGTATTTGGTACCCGAATACCAACTATAGTCCAACTGCTTACCCATTAAACCAATTTTGAACCAGCTCTACCAACGCGAGCACAAGATAACAAACTTACCAGGCAGAACACCACGGACTTTGGTTTCACATGCGTCACCTGACGAATCGGTTAGCAGCTTCGCCTTGGACGCTTGAAAACCGCATCTGCATGCATTAGTTGGAGACCACTAAACACGTCTTCAATCTCAGAGAGCGTAATTGCCTCGTGCAGCGCAACTCGGCAAACTTGGCGAGCGTAACATCCCTGATTGTAGTTAGGCGGCCGGCAAGTTCTTGGCTTTCTTTGTACTCCTTTTTCCGTTTCGATTTTTTTACAGTCTGCTGCAACCGTGGCCGTCCAGACGAACGACTTGTCAGATACTCCACTGCCGTCGATCGCACTTTTCATATCGAGACGGCGTCTAGTTGTATTCACTTCTGCGGCACTGTCATCAATCATGTTGCTTTTTGTCCAGCCCTTCGTGTAGTACCGCAGTGAATTTTCCCATAACTTTGGCTGCGTTCCACGAGCCTCCGCTTGCCAAACACGAGTTCGATTGCG